TTCATTTTTTTCTTTTTCTTCTCATCGTCTAGCTCATTGTCCTCACTGCCCTTCCGTTTTTTGGGGACGTTCTTTGAAGAGGGGCCATCTTTTGCAGTTGTATCTGTACACTGATCAGTGACTTGAGGTGGTTCTTTTTCCACCATTCTTTCTATTGATTCCATCATCAGCTTTTCTAATTCTGCTTTGTTCTCTAAATGAAAAAAAAGTCTAATAATTAAGTGTTTGATATCACCATTGCTATTATTCATTACCATTCGAATGAATTGAACGTCAAATCTACTACTGGCAATCGAGCYAGTCTATTGTRCGTCATTGCCGACATAGTTCAAAGTATATCAATAACTATCGTGAAAGCTGAGTCACGCCAACTGTTACTATAGGAGATTTTGATAATCCAGTCACATAAAGTTTTGTTCATTTGACCTTAAGTGCACAGTCGTTAAGATAAAGCATTGGCAGTTCAAATATTTGAGCGCRGAATGAAATTCCTATAAAATTACCATCGTCTTTATGTGCTCCATACAAAACATTTATAACAAGAAAATTAAATTAAAACATGAAATGTAAATACAATCGTATATTAAAAGTTAAAAGAAACTGAGTTATTATTATTTTGTTACCAATCAGTCCAATCAAATTTAGGTTCCGAATAACGATCGATAAACAGCCTTATTCTACAAATTGTAGCCATTCTTACTTGGACTTACCTCCACCTTTCACCAACTTCACCTGCCAAAGTTTTCTTTCTGCCTTTAGCGTCGCAATTGACCCTTCCATTCTTTTGTCTTTTGGGACGCGCGATAGTGGAACAACATTAAATTCTTTTGTATMAATCCAAAAGAGAATCGTGTAMTTTTTGGTTGATTTGCTTTCCAAGGACTTTTCTACTGTCTCAGACAGTGACAATAGTRATGTAATCATTTGGTTCGCCATTATTAAGGTTTGAAAATGTGAATTGTCGACAATGAACGCTCGCTCCAACAAACAGTAGTATATGGGCTATGATCTTTAAGTTGGCCCGCCAAAAATTTGAAATTTAGAAAAATAGCCAATCACGCTCTCGTGTGAGTCGTATTACTTGTGCGTGTGGGGTTTCAATTATGTTAATTAGCAACACCGGAAAAGAGTATCACGAGATGCTTTGAGCCAAAAACGCAGAGCAAATTTTCATGTGTCATAAAACTAAGTCGATATAGATATTTATTATTATGAGATTATAGGTAATGCGTACTAATGTGGAAACATCGTTAGTATAGTTACGTGCGTATTTCTGTAACATGCCTATATTGACATACTTAACAAAGGGTAACTATGACGTTGAAAAGCATCTGAACGTGAATATCTGAGAGGTCAAAAGGAGGTCTTCGTTATNAAAAGTAGCATGGCACATGGTTTTGGATGTGGCGCGATGTTGAGTTCTTGTTGATTAAAAACGAAGTGTCTATCACAAAGTGTCTTTATTACATTGGTGGCAGCGTGTAGGATCGGATGGGCGATAAAAAGCCAGTTAAACCAGTGATTGGAGCCGAAGGCGGTCTTCCAGAACCTCAAGATGGTCCATCTCAGTCTAGCTCAATGGGAGCCCAATCGGAAGTTTTGCAATTGGTACAGATACTAACGGGTGCCTTGAAGAAAGGAGATGATGTAAAAAGAAATGTTCGACCTCCTCGTGTATATTCAGTGGGACAAAACTTCAAAATTTGGCATTCTCAGTTCGTTCAATATGCTGGATTAGTGCAAATCAACGAGGTGGACCGCCGAGCGTATTTACTAACACAACTCGATCAACCGGCTTTCAAAGCAGTGGAGCTGTTAAAACTACCTCCAACGCTTAGCTACCAGGAATTCGTGGATAAGTTAATTCAACGGTTTGATTCTGGAAAAACAAAAGAAGATTACAAGCTTCKATTACGAGCGCGAAGACAYAAMGTTGGCGAAGATGTTGACACGTTTGCGGACGCCTTGGTCGATTTGGCTGAAAATGCATACCCCGAGGCTGACTATGTGTTGAAGGAAGAGTTGGCCAGAGATCAATTTATTCAAGGAGTTTCTGTCTCCGATGAGATGCGAGAAAAGATCTTTATGAGTCAACCATCATCTATTGTAGAAGCTGTTCGCCTTGTACGACGTCTAGAGAGCGCTCGTAAAGCATGTATGCAAACAAATCCACCTAAAGAGAAGTCTAAGGATCGAGTAAGTGTCATTACGGAAGATAAAATATCTAAAGAATTAAAGGAACTTAAAGATCTGGTGTTGGAGATGAACAAACGAATCCAAAGTTTAGAGGAAAGACAGGAAAAGAATGAGACGAAATCTACAAGTGGCGCRCGTAGGCGTGACAACGTTGTTTGTTTTACTTGTAAGAATCCCGGTCACTTTGCAAGAGACTGTAAGATGAAGCCGACGGGAAACGACAACCYGAGCCTGAAGTAGGCCAACCAGGCTCSGTTGAWGGACTGGCCCAACTTCATCAAGGSATAAAAACAGAAAATGATGGTAAATTTGTTGTGTCTACAATATCAGAGTCTGGAGTTTATGTCACGGGACTCGTTAATCACCGTTCAACTTGTTTGTTATTGGATACGGGTGCTACTGTTTGTGTTATTAATGAAAGTTCATGGAAAAAAAGTGGCTCTATTGATTGTTTACATCCCGTTTCTGGATCCCTGTCTACAGCTAATGGAAAAGGCTTGGAAGTTCTAGGAGAGACAAAGATTAGATTTCGTTTTGGAGATTGTGATCTTGTGTGGCCTGTTATTGTTGTGCGTGACCTGACTCATGAATGCATTATTGGATCTGACTTCTTTCAGCACTTTGGATGTCAAATCAACTATGAAACAGGAACATTTGTGGTCRAAGGCAGTGAAATTCCAATAAGGTATGAGAAACGATTACCATCAGTTTGTAGACTTTACTTAAACTCTAATGTCGAACTGTTAGCTGGATCAGAACAAGTTGTAGACGTAAGGGTGGAAGGGGGATTTGAACACAATATGGGAAGCCCAGGGATTTTGGAAGATTCCTAGGGATGGCCTGGCTTCTGTATGCTTAACAAATTTCACAGATCAACCTCTTTCAATTACATCTGGATTTCCAAGTAGCAGAATATTACCCTGTCATTCAAGTTTGTGGAACCCTGAAGGAAGTGAATAATAAAATGAGTATGCCTACTGGCAAACTATCCAATTGTATGAATATCTCATTCAGTGACAAAGATCATACAAGCCCTACTAACAGTAATGAAAAGTTACAGAAACGATTAGAACAAGATGTCCAGGTGTTGTCTGAAGGAGAGGCTAGTGGTCTTATGTCACTGATAGATAAGTACAGGGATGTTTTTGCAAGTAGTAGTCATGACCTTGGAAAAACTGATCTAATGGAGCATGAAATTGACACGGGTACTAGCCAGCCTGTAAAACAGCCCCCTCGACGTACACCCCCTGGTCAAYGGGAAATAATTGATCAGCAATTGAATGAGCTTCTAGATCATGGCAGGATTGAATCATCTCAAAGTCCCTGGTCTAGTCCTGTTGTTTTGGTACGGAAACACGATGGGACATATCGAATGTGCATTGATTATCGAAAACTTAACCATTGCACGAGGAAAGATGCACTGCCATTACCTAGGACTGATGATGTGTTGGAAGCTTTGGGGGGGTCCCAATGGTTTTCATGTCTAGATATGGCCTCTGGTTACTGGCAGCTTCANAATTCCAATTTTTGGTAGCTATTTAAATACCATTTTATGCAATTGACTTTATTTTAGTATGATGTCATAGCAAGTGATTAACGTCAAAGGGATTGACTGTACTTTATTTTAGTATGATGTCATAGCAAGTGATTAACGTCAAAGGGATTGACTGTATGCAAAATTTAGGTAGGGCGAAATGTGTAAAAATTCACGCTATTTTTTGCCTTTTTAATTACTTTGTAAATCCCTTATATGAAGTGAGTTTTTTGTCTGCATGCTAAAACAGCGGTCGCTTACATTGAACTGGAAAAAGTCTTATTGATATACACCCTTTTAATAAGTCCCGAGTAATTGAGTTCTCCTCTCTTGACGTCAAATTTATTCTTTTGAATTTTTTACAATACAAAAGGAATTCAAAAGAATAAATTTGACGTCAAGTGCGGAGAACACAATACCTCGGGACTTACAAAAACGGTGTATATAGAGGATCGATATTACATGGGAGTGCGGAGATACGGATTTTATCTTCGAGTGAAAAGAGATTTTTTTCAATATTCGGTTTACCATATACTTTTATATGAAAGCAAATTATGTTGTAAAATGCATTTTCTTTCTTTGGCGCTATATAGAGAAACATTGAATATGCACAATATTACGAAATGGAGAAATACAGGTATTTCATAGATAACTATATGATAAATTAAAAAAGTTAGCATCCAGAACTTTTTTATATTGACAGTCATAAATAATAAATWACTGGAGAAATTGCTATTAAAAATTAATCATAGCAAGAAAGGCGTATTAATTAATTAATCAGCTTGAAACAAAACTATGCAATAAGAGATGCACAACTTGTACCGTGCAGTCTAAGTTTTTTGAGTTGACTTTGTAAATAAAAAGAACCGGTACGTTTTTGAAATTTAAGGGGTCCTAACACACATTTCGTGACTGCTATTTTAGTTATTGCAGTATTATCAATAATCTTCCAATTTTTCGCAGAACATGGCACCTGTGATGAGCCCTTTTTTATATCTGATTTTTTGGAAACAAATAAAATCTTCTTGCAAACTAGAACTGGAGATTTGTGCTATTCAAAAAAGGGACACGAGGGGTACTCCTTTCAAAGTGAAATGAGTTATAACCTTGGAAATCTATCTAACTACCGAAAAGTTTTTCCCGCCAATTAATATAATTATCAGACAAACGTCTAAAAAACACATAAATTATTAATTAGCTGAAAGATTTCAGTGTTAAAAATGTAAACGTTAGAATACAGTTAGTTTTTTATCGCTGTGTTTTRCGAGACACKGACGCCAGAGGAATATCAAACGGACATGGATTCCAAGAAATACCTTCTTMTGCTTGTYATCGTTCTAATGCAAGAGTATTTCTGTATGTATTGACTTTTTCACTTTATTTGATTGTTTTGGCCAGGCAAAGAAACGCATCAAATGAATTGCAAAAACATAAAATTCTCGTCATCTCTTCTCAGTTGGATTTTAGCAAAAGTTCTTAGAATAATGAGAAACGTTTGTTCACTTAAGGTTTCGTTTGTAAGGCGTTTTTCCACCTTAAGTCAGTTTTAACCTAAAAGTTGGATTCCCGCTAGTTCWTAAACAACTCCCTTATATTGAGTATTTCTTCACTTAGAAAAAACTTAGTAATCACAAAGAGATTTCCAATTGATAAAATGTACATTTTTCTTTGTGTGATAAAAAAAATTCCAATGGACTTCTTATATTTTAGATATATCCTAACGAGATTTCTGAAAAATTTTGGCAAATGAAGAATGCTTAATATTTTTTTAATAAATTGTCATGACAATATTCATAAGGCCGAAGTGCCGAAACGTTCTAATAAAGAGTAGGAATAATAGTTGCAAGTTGCGTGCCTTTTTCTTCAATTTATTCAATTTATTTCAAAGAAAACATGTACGAAAACTTTCGTAAAACTTACTTTTGGAGACTGCAATATTTTTTAACATTTTCAAATTCTCGATCCTTTTGAACAGTAGGTTGAAACCTTCGGCAAAGTATTTTTTTATTATAGGTAATGGCGCAAAAAACTATTACAAGATAAAGAAGAATATTCGGGCGTTGGCATTAAAGGACTATGACAAGGTGATTGGGCCGTCATCGCAAGGACAAATGCCCGCACGGAAAGTGTGGTTCTCTCTGCGAGTCAAGAAGCTCAGCGAAATTGTAAGTGATAATTATACTTGGTTTTTGATTTTCGCATTCTGGTTTCTTTAAGGATTAGTACTTTTTGGATTTATTATTTATTATTTATTCTGTGCATAGATGTCTTTTCGCACTTTCTTGCATATAGCATCCTTTCGCAGCTTACCCTGTGTGGACAGTAGCGTTGCTTGGCGACAKRGGARCAGCTGCGTCACAAGTCCATAATTTTGTCTGAGATAGCGCTATCATTTGTCCAAATGTTGCTCTTTATCACATAATTCAAGACCTCCCACTAAGTGATTTCGAATTATTTATTTTTTATTTTTTATCATCTCTCTTCGCTCTAAGCTTCTTCATCTACTATTTACTCGAAGATACTGCACAAATGTTCCACTCCCTCACCATATAACAATATCGACTCACTTCGAGCCTCTCACAAATCGGCCCTCTCGCTCTTGCACAATTTAGTGTGAGTCTTTATTTCAACTTTAGGTGCTTCGTTTTAGTCTCATAACAATACGATTTCTGCGACATTTTCAATTAGGTACCTTAGATTAGTACTGGTCAGTATCCGCAGCTGACTCTCTGTGTATTTCAATCTGCCAGTATCCACTCAAGCAGTCAAATGATCGATCATTCAAACCTAACGCTGTTGGTTATAGAAGTCAGGGTATAAATGTATCATCTCCTTTTCACAGAGCACAAAATATCAGTATCTCAAAGTCAAGGCCATGATTGAAATGGTATGTAACGAAGATCTACAATAAGCTAGGTTATAGTTTAGGGTATTAATAAAACAGATATGGCAAGAGAGAGAACTGAAATGAAATGCTCCATTTTACAGACGCTAGCTCTAAATTAGCTGAACTGCAGTTTGATAGTATATGCATCTATCAAAAGTGTCATGGACATTTGCTGTTTATTGTATTGATCCTACAGAAATGGTATGATTACTTATTGAAGTGGGACAAGAATAAACACAGCAAAGTCACATATGTTCACTATCTTTCAAACGAGATCTGGAAGCCAGATATCACGCTTCTCAACGAGTGAGTAGTTTTTAAAACAGTTTACACAGCATGGAGGCACAGAACGGCACATCGCGGCACACTTGTAGGTCTTTCCTTAAACATACACTCGATCCCATCAGCTTTGTTCAGTTGCAAAGACGTAAAAAAAGCTACAAAGTCATTTGTATATTTTATATACAGCAATATGCAGAAATTCCGACCACTCTGACTCATATTTCAACTATATATAAAATATATCAGAAATTATTGGATATGGTCACTGATATTTTTTTGAAGTTGCCTAGGATCAGTAGTATCTGAAAAAAATATCAGCGATGATATCCCATAATCTCTGATATATTTTATATATAGTTGGAATATGAGTCAAAGTGGTCAGAATTTCTGCATATTGCTGTATATCATATATTGTATTTCTTGAAATATAATTCAACCTCAAGTTCCAGAACATTATGGCAATGTCAATAAAATTTAACTTGCAAGCATGATCTGGAGTTTTGAATCAAAATGAGATTTTATGCAAATGCTCTGTTGTACTCTTCATGTCTTTACAACTGAATAACATTGATGGAATATTTATTTATTTATTTATTTGTATGCAATATTTCAACAAGCCACCCAATTCAGCGTAAGCTGGTTTAAATGGGGACCTGCAAACAATTTACAAGACATACATTTCAATACATTTCAATACATTACATAAACTCATTACAATTACATATCATGGAGAAAAAAGGTGAAATAGTGCAAAACTATTTACAAAGATACTGCTTCAATATTGTTTTAAAATTAGTTAGAGAAGTCATACTTCTCAGATAGGCCGGAAGTGTGTTCCATACTTTGGCACCGTTATACAGAAAAGAGCTCTGAAATTTATATGTTTTAGCCAGAGGTAAACGGATTTTGTCTTTATGTCTAGTATTGTAAGTATGGAAGTCACGAAAAAAGGAGAATTAGTTAAGAAGATAGACAGGTGCTAGGCCATGCAGGCACTTAAAAAGACGTAGAGAAATTTGATAATTGCGGCGGCGCAGCACCTCTAGCGAAGGCCATCTTAGTAATAGCTTCATAGCTCAGTTTGTAGAGCGCTGCACTGGCATCACAGAGGTCATGGGTTCGATTTCCGTTGAAGCCCGAAATTATTATCCACAGTGCACCGATCATATATAGATTATTACACGTTAATGGAATTGACTGTATGTCTTGTCTCAATTATAGTGATGATGAAGAACGTGACAAAAAACTTAAGGTACACAGACTTATTGTGAATAGCAATGGGAAAGTACTTTGGAGATTTCCAACTACACTTGTSAGCTCATGTTCACTGGATGTCACCAGATGGCCTATGGACACCCAAGAATGTAAACTAATGTTTGGCTCGTCTGCTTTTGGTCAGAGACGCTTGAAAATAATTGGAGTCAACAAAACACAAAACGGTAATGGAAACGTTAAAGAAAAATCAGAATATTCTAAGTAGAGGTCTTGTTGTATGGTCCAATATTTCGAATGTTTTAAAGAGATACCAGAGCCTAAGATGTATACAACTAGACAAGTATAAAAGTCAAATATATTTGAAAAAAGATTTCTGAGTTTCTATTTAGACTCATAATGGCAGATTGAGACTCATCAAGCCAGAGATAATTTGACCCACGAAGATGCCCGATTACGGCGAAAGCTCGGTCTAATAAATTCAAAATTGTCTAGGTTTATGTATCTGAGTCTGCAATTATATCTGAATACGTTTTTCGGAGGTAAAAATCTACGTTATTGTTTATATTAAAAATTTATGCTTATTTGAGATTTGGTATGTTTTTTTTTCAGCATCCATCTCAAGTGGTGAATGGTCACTGAAGTCAATCAAAATGCACGAGGGATTCTACGATCATGGCGACGGCAGGAACTACTCAATGGTTCAATACAAGCTGACTATTGACCGTAAACCAGCATATACGCTTTTCTACCTCTCTCCTCCTTCCATCATTCTTGCTATTTTGACCTTTATGAGCTTCTGCATCCCGTCAGAGAGTGGGGAGCGTATTGGTTTTGTCACTACCATCCTTTTGACTATGATGGTATTTTTACTATTGCTTCCCGAGTACCTCCCCCGGACCTCTGATGGGTTGCCTGTGTTGGGTATCCTGCTAATTGTGGCTATGGTGATCATAGCCATTGTTCTCATGGCAACCATCGTCATTGTGAAGTTTTACCATAGTGAAGGGTTCCCTCCCTCCTGGATTCAAAAGCTTTTTTGCTTTTTGAGCCCCTTCGAGGGGTTTTCATTGAAGAAGACCCTTCCAATGTCATTCCTGGGCAAAATTGGCAGGAAAGTTTCTTCGGGTCAGCTGCCATTCACAATCACTCCAAATGAGGTCGAGCTTGAGACCATCTCTTCCCTGCCGTTTGAGCCCAGAATTGCCTTTGGTGAAGACGTCAAAAAGATCACATGGAAAGATTTGTCAATCAGGTTGAACTGGTTCTTGTTTGGAATCATTCTTTGTGCCTTTTTGATCACATGTGCATATCTTTTCTCTCTAAACTAAGCCACTGAAATAAGAGTAATACTTGCTTTAACTGAAATACAAACAGCAATATTGTCCAGGAAATGTACCAGTCAATAGTTTTTGTTTCTTTGTTTGAGTTCATTAGTCTGCTTTTGTAATGTAAAGCCTCATCTGTAACGAAAGTAAATCTATTCAAATTTTCGCTTACACGTCAACGAGTGATGAACAATACATATCATTGCCTAAACCGACATTTATGCAGTAATACGATTCAAACCATAGGCCGCCCAACTATTGCATTAGAGACAGAAAAGAACGACTGCGCACGCTTTTATTATGCATATGTATCGGCGCGTGCTGTTGTGGAAATGCGGATTACCTGTGGTGTTACGTCACGATCTCGCGCCTCGCGGGACTACACTAATTTGTCACAGATTAGTAAGTACTCGCGAGGCGCAGGATCGTGACGTAGCACCACAGGTAATCCGCTCTGAGAGCGCGCGCCGATACATATACATAATGCGTACACATTCGTTCTTTTCTGTCTCTAATGGTTTAGTTGGGCGGCCTATGTTCAAACCTTTGAAACAACGAGGAAAAATAATACATTGTTTTCCAGGTGCCAGGAATAATTATAATCACAGATGAAAAGGATATTCATCAGTCTTTCTGTTTATTGTACAGAGAATTGTAACCTCGCGATCGCCAATCAATGTGGTGATCGCGAGGTCACAAAGCTGACATGCAAGTTATACTGGACTCTCTTTCCCCGCGAGTCCTGGAACGGGTCGAAATGAGGCTAAGACAGGACTATAAACAATATAAGCCAACAGATCTTTATCTATGTACATACTGAATAATGCTCCCTTTGACGATTTCTTCACGCTTTGCTATGTTGTCAAAGTAATGCATAACAGCACTTTCGACGTATTGGAACTGCTTTGAATTAGAGAGTGAAATCTCACTTGTTAGTTTTCGTTATTCTAAAATAAGTAAGAGTTAGTTACCGAGAACGGAGGCATTACGCTATAYACAGCCCTCGGGCCTATAGCGTAATGCBGACGTGCGAGGTAACTAACAAACTTAGTTTTCAATTCACGTGGTTTTCGCAAAAACTGAATAGACTTAATGAATGTTTTCTTAGTTGGGCTTCGAACAATAGAATCCTCTTCTCTTGAGACTTTTTCATGGACTGTTGAAATTAGTTTCCTTTAAGAAAACCTGTTCATGCGAAAGCGAGCAATCGAAATTTGAATATTGTTATCAAATATTCTTATTTTAGAATAAACACTTACAACACAGTCAATATAGACAATTAAAGTTGTACTTTTGCTTAATATGCCTGAACGACAAATAAAGATCCCGGTACGCCCTAGCTATTGACATTCTATTTGACTAACCCAAGCCTTACTTTTGTATTAATGTATACTTTAAAATGAAATGATTCTTTGAAGGTGTTTTGGAGAATTTTATAGGAAAAACGTTTTTTATGTTCAATAACAATTCACTTTTTTCTTTTTCATGTTACGTCACAGCGGCCATCTTGGAAGAACTTCAACAAAAAATTTCTCATTAGTCTCTATTTTTCATTTCCCTGCATGCATGGCCGCCGGTATTTTATCTTTTGAGTCTCATGGGAATTGTTGAAAGTGATCAATAGCGGACTTTAGCTGCGGACTTTRGGCTCCCGTGACAAAACTAAAAGCTTGATAGGAGACATGCGGAGATGATTTCACAAACGCAAATTTTACGATAAAATTTCTGGTGTCTGCATACAAAGGACTGGCATCCAATAAGTGKATTTGARAATGAATGGTTCTGTTGAAAGTAGGGCMTACTGTGCAATCAATCCCATTMAAGTTGTTCAGCTGTATAAAGACGTAAAAACAACAACTAATTCATTTTCACATAATGTCGTGCTTTTAATGTCTTTGAATGTTCAACTTAATGCTCCAAAACGTCTTCACAATGTCAACAACATTCAATTTGCTATTTATCTAGAGCTTAGAATTACAATTCTTCGTGGGAATTTTAAGTACCTTTTTGTACAAATGACTTTGTTTTTGTATTGATGTCTTTACAATTGAACAACGTTAACTGTTTGTAAAAYTTAAATAGGATAATATCCGTAAAAAAGGAACGCTATGAATTAATAAAATTTAGTTCATTTAACTGCCACTTTTGGTGCTTTTTTATTGCCTTGCAAATCCCCTGTATATCTGGTGCACTTTGGGTAATATTTCCAGCAGATGTTCGCTTTTTTCTTGCTAAAACAAATTACTTGAATACTTTAAAATGTTTATCTAAAGGTTATTCAAACATAAACTACGACAATTTAAAGAAAGTTTTAGATTAGAAATATCAACTGAGGCAAGAATGTTTTTAAATTGACAGTCATGAATAATAGATTATTGGAGAAATTGCTATAATTAAAATAAATCGTGGCATGCAAAGCGTGCATTTTGGAAATTTAAGGAGTTCTAACACATTTGCATCGTGACTKCTATTTTAACTCATTATCAATTATTTTTGAAATTTGCGAAGACCAAGGCACCTCAGTTTTAGGAGTCCTTTTTTATATATATTTTTAATCAAGCCGTGATTAGCTATAAACTTGGAAATATATTGAATCACCTACCAGTTAAGGCCATCAATTAATATTCTTATCAGGCAAACGTCAAAAAACATATAAATTATAAATTAGCTGAACGATYTCAGTGCGTTAAGAATACATCTAATTCTATTTATCGCTGTGYTTCGCGAAACAAAGCTAAGACGTCAGAGAGATTCCAAATAGACATGGACTCCAAGAAATACCTTCTTCTGCTTGTCATTGTTGTAATGCAAGAGCACTTCTGTATGTATTGAGTTTTTTAATCTTATTTGCTTATTTTTCTTAAAACGTACAATTGCTATTGATTTGTCAAGGAAACACATCAAATGAATTGCAGAAACATAAAAATGTATCGTCATTTTTTCTCAGCTCACTTAACGTTTTACGGTTTTATTTGTAATGCATTTTTCCATGTTAAGTTGAGTTTGATTCCCGCTAGTTTTTAAACACATCCTTAATAATGAGATTTTCTTCCCTTTATTGCAAAGACCTTTACTCTAGGAAGCACAAATTTCCAATTGATAAAATGTACTTTTTCCATGTGTGGTAAAAAAATCCAATGCACTTGACTTTGACTTTTAAGACATTAAGTTTAAATTTCATAGCAATGACAATTTTAGGTTATCAAGTCACAGAAAAATGTTGAAAAAACTCGTTGGAAACTGCAATGACGTTTTCTCGATCATTTCCAAAATGTCGACCCTTTTGAACATAAGATAGGAGCCCTTAGCAAAGTATTTTTGCGTTTTTAGGTAATGGCGCAAAAAACTATTACAAGATAAARAAGAATATTCGGGCCTTGGCACTGAAGGACTATGACAAGGTGATTGGGCCGTCATCGCAAGGAGGCATGCCCCCACGGAAAGTGTGGTTCTCTCTGCGAGTCAAGAAGCTCAGCGAAATTGTGAGTATTAATTATATTTCTGCATTCTGGTTTCCTTAAGGATTAATATTATAAATTTATTAATTATTATCTATATGATCGTGAGCACACATTCCTTTTCGCAATTTCCGGCTGTCGTATAGCATCCTCTTGCAGTTGTCTCTGTGTGTAGAGTAGCATTGCTTGGCGACAGAGGAGCACCTGCAATACTGGTCCATGTTTTTTTTTTCTGAGAATGCACTATAGCTTGTAGAATTTTTGCCCGTTCTTTGTTGACCAATTAAGTTTTTTCAATTTCTTCCTCTTCCTTTAATAGCTTCCTTGTCTACTATTGATTCAATATACACAACACGCATCCACTCCCTCGACATATAATACAACTGATTCACATCGAACCTCTAGCGACTCGTTCTAATTCTCTTGCATAGTTTATTGTTCAGCTTCAGTTCAACTATCGATGCTTCATGCTTCAAACTCATAGTTGTAAGTCTCATATGAATAGGATTGCTGCGGCATTTTTATGATCCGCAGCACACTCTCGATGCTTTTCAGTCTGCCAGTACCCACCCAGGCAGTCAATTGATCGATAATTCTAACAAAATGGTATAATGTATCATCTCCTCTTCACAGAGCACAAAATATCAGTATCTCAAAGTCAAGGCGATGATTGAAATGGTATGTAACGCAGATCTACAATAAACTAGGTTATAGTTAGGGCTATATTGCTGAAAAAGATACGGCAAGAGCGAGAATTAAAAAGAATACTCCCATTTAAAGGATTCCCTCAAAGCGACACAGAAGTTGAGCTTGCACAAATAGATATACATGTGAATAATTGTCTTAGGTGTGAACAGCAAGTATCTATCAATGCAGGCTCATTTCATGTCCCGCTTTACAGGCCCGTAGGCTGGGGTGTTAAAAAGTCCGGTTTTCGTATTGTTCTATTTTAAAAATCTTTCATTATGTAACTTTTTTTGAGATGGTAATTTGTTATTTTATGCTCACAGTAGCAGCCAGTTCTTACACACTATACCTGTGCATTGAACTAATTTAGTTAAACATTTAATTTAGGTCCGCATTATGAAAAAAAACGAAGTTCCCCATTTGTGAGGCAGCCTACAGGTCTGCTTTACTGTAAAGGCTCGGTTAGCTTTTAAGATGCCGCTAGGGACTAAAAAATGGAGTATTGTCCAGTAAAACGTTTGCCTTGTTAGGAGTTTTTTCTCCTCTAGACCTTAACTTACTTCTAAGCAGCTATGCCATGTTATAATAAAAACTACTGCTCTAAGAGAATGCATTTTATCAAAATACTGTATCTGTATTGATACCACAGAGATGGAATGATAACTTGTTGCAGTGGGACAAGAAAAAACACAGCAGGATCACATCTGTTCAATATCTTTCAAACGAGATCTGGAAGCCAGATATCACGCTTCTCAACGAGTAAGTAGTTTTTAGAAAACGGTTTACACAGCTTGGAAGAACACGGCACTGCACCGCACACTTCTTTACTAACCAAATGTTTTGTCTCAATGATAGTGCTGATGAAGAACGTAACAAAAAAATTAAAATGCACAGACTTGTTGTAAATAACGTTGGGAGAGTAATTTGGAGATTTCCAGCTACACTTGTGAGCTCATGTTCACTGGATGTCACCAAATGGCCTATGGACAGCCAAGAATGTACACTGATGTTTGGCTCCTCTGCTTATACCAAGAGACGCATGACTATAATTGGAGTCAACAAAACAATGAAAKGTAATGCTAATAACGCTAAAAAAATTCGAACAAATATCATAATATTCTAAGTAGAGTGGCTGCTGTATGGTTCGAATTGCTTCATTCGAAAAGATGACTGAGATTGGATTTAGACTTTTAAATTGAAGACTCTTAAACTAGCATCAAACTAGATAATTTTGACTTACTTAGCCCGAGCTTTCGCCTTAAGAGTTGTAGTGACTCTGAAGATGCCCGCTTGGGGCGAAGGCCCGGGCTAATAATGTTAAAATTGCATAAGTTGATGGTGTATCTGAGTCTACAATTATATTTGAATACGTATATATAATATTTTCAGCATCCATCTCAAGTGGTGAATGGTCACTGAAGTCAATGAAAATGCACGAGGGATTCTACGATCATGGCGACGGCAGGAACTACTCAATGATTCAATACAAGCTGACTATTGACCGTAAACCAGCATACACGCTTTTCTACCTCTCTCCTCCCTCCATCATTCTTGCTATTCTGACCTTTATGAGCTTTTACATCCCGTCAGAGAGTGGGGAGCGTATTGGTTTTGTCACTACCATACTTTTGACTATGATGGTATTTTTACTATTGCTTCCCGAATACCTCCCTCGGACCTCTGATGGACTACCTGTGTTGGGTATCCTTCTAATTGTGGCTATGGTGATCATAGCCATTGTTCTCATGGCAACCATCGTCATTGTGAAGTTTTACCACAATGAAGGGGTCCCTCCATCTTGGATTCAAAAGATTTTTTGCTTTTTGAGTCCCTTCCAGAGGTTTTCATTGAAGAAGTTCCTTCCAATGTCATTTCTGGGCAAAATTGGCGGGAAAGTGTCTTCTAGTCAGCTTCCATTTACGATCACCCAAAATGAGGTCGAGCTTGAGACCATACCTTCCCGACCATTTGCGCCCAAAATTGTTTTTAGTGAGGATTTCAACAAGATCACATGGAAAGATTTGTCCAACAGGTTAAACTGGTTCTTGTTTGGAATCATTCTYTGTGCCTTTTTGATCACATGTGCATGTCTTTATTCTCTGAGCTAAGGAGATTTAATAATAGGAGTAACATGTTCTTTACGTATTCTTATCATCAATCATTGCATGCCTTTTTGTTTGCCAGTGGATGTTGCTTTTGAGCTTATCGGCCTACTAGGTTCCCCTCRGCTTTGCCTGGCTGACGTCATATTAGTCTCAACTGCAGCACATCCAGTTATGTTTGATTAAATTAGAGTGTTAGTTTCTTTCGTCCTCCAGGTTGGGAGATGAGACAGSATAGGGTTAGCAGCCCWATCTTGTAAAAATACTCTATGGTACCGAAATTAACACTCTAAGTTACGTAGTCATATACAAATTGCAATATTGTCCAGGATGTCCAGTCAATAGCTTATGTTATTTGTGAATGCCATCACATTGCACTGAAGTACTTGTGCACTTCATTTAACAATTCAGCGTTAATGAAGTTATTTGTTTTAATTGCAGTGTAACATTCTTGTAAATTTCAGGATAGTTGACATTTTCTCAGCATTTTTGGATGAAATAGTTTTAAAGTCTGGAATCAGTACTACTGCACTGTCAGGTTAATGCACCAGCCAACAGTTTTCTATCTTTGTACATAGCTACTAAATGCTCCATTTGACAATTTCTATCCGCCCGGCTATGTTGTCAAAGCTATGCATAACAGCACTTTCAACGTATCGCACATTGGAAGTTTAATCGAAGCGGAGCGTGAAATCTCGATCAGAGATTTGTGAATTTTCGTTTTTTTTAGAATATTACACATTGAATAGAGACACTTAGGGTTTATTGCTCGTTAAGACAAAATTGTTATTCAATTTAAAAAAAAGCTGGTTGTATAAAATCAAACTGCAAATTTTGAATAAATTGCACGCACTAGACTGTTTGTTTTGAGTTAATTACTATTAGAGTTTCTCTTGTATTTGAGATATTATATTTTGGCATGTACGGAACCAATATATACATACACCTAGTGAAATACGCACAAATACACAAAAGATGTCCACTGAAAAGGTAAACGTAACTTACCACATTCAAATCCATCAAAGCAAATCTAACATTCCCTCCCTAACATCCGCAAACGGCCTAGTAAGTCACTTTCAATTCGTGAAATAAATGGACAAGAAGGAAGAAAAGTAAGCCGCTAACGTAAAAGCAATGACAAGCACGCCTTTTCACGGTTTTAGTGTTTGGCACTCAAGAAATCCATCCTTGAAGAAAAAACAAAAACAAACAATGAATGCATCAGCTCTAATTCATCGATAAGCCAACAGACCATCAACAAATTCCACAATAAATGAAACTTAAACAATCAACCCTGTTTGGTTAGTAACATTAAATGATACTTTAATCCACCTTTTTAATAATTTATTCTTGGGATTTATTCTATATTAATTGCCCAATAAAGATAAAGAAAAACAAATTCCCAATTTCAGAGTGAACTCGCTAAGAAATCATGCCCTCTTCCAGAGTAAAACTCGATTAAACCTATACCCAGCTTGGCTGCACCTACCCGACCTACCCGTATAGCAAGTATAAGGTCTATGGTGTGAATTTATAACTGATTAAAATTGATAGTCCGAATAAAAAGCGCACAACCTTCCAACATAACCCAATCATTTTTGCAGGTGAAAATTATAAAGAATTATTTGAGCACATATAATTGTTATGTTGACTTTTCAGGTGGCTGTATACATAAAAGGTGATAATTAATTCTAATAAAGACATCAATGAAAGAATCTCCATGAGCGCTAAGCGCTGACAAAGAAACAGATTAGAAGGTTTAGTTCTACCACCAAAGAAAAAAACACTTCTTCCGTATATAGTTCTTGGGTTATGGCCTTGCTTTTAGCTTTTAAGCACATTAATGAGTATTAATTAAAGTCGAAACCATTTATATGATATAAATTATAGATTAGTCGTGCAATTTTAAGTGTTCAAAATTTTAATGTCTAACTGCGTTTTTCTGTGTTTTCCTCGATTTAAGACCAAAATTAACCTTCAGAAGAATCATAATCCAACATGGAATGCAAGATACACAGTCTTCTTCTTGTCATCGTTTTATTACACCAGCCATCCTGTATGTATAACTATTGTCCTGGTTCAACGCCTAAAAATTTTGGAAAAAACGATATATAGATTTAAAGCGAATTAGGAGAGATTAATTAGACTGAATGAGATCGATTTTCTTTGTTTTTGTTTTTAGTTTGTGCCTATATTTGGCTTATGCATTGTTCATTGTTATCTTATGCATTGTGTGTTGATTTGCTTATGTCGATATCACTTAGTTTCCTGTATTTTACCTTTCGTTCCCGTGTTTATGATAATGTTGTCTGTCGACCACGCATATTTTCCAATTTTAAACCACAGCTGAATTTAATTTAATTTTTTTTTAATTTCCAAAAAATAATGCCACGTTTGAAAAAGAAGCTCACTAATTTCACAACAAGGCAGCAACCTTAGTCAAAAATATTGACTATATTGTGGATTGTAGGTAATGCCGCAACAAAAAACTATTACGCAATAAAGAAGAATATACGAGCCTTGGCATTAAAGGAATATGACAAGGTACTCGGTCCCTCATCACAGGGAGAGGAGGAGGCAACAAAAGTGTGGCTCTCACTGCAAGTCAAGAAACTAATCGAAATAGTGAGTGATTTTATTTGTTTTTGTTGTTGTTTTTTTCGTGTTCGATACTCAGGAATGGAAGCCCCTTTGAATTTCTCTTCGCCCTCTTGGTGTTGCTCATCACTCATATACATCTTGCTGTTCTTTCTCCTTTCCCCGCTGTATCCTACCATGGATATATCCTGACTTCTCCCTTAACATTTGCCTTTGCCGGCCTTATATGCCAAGTGCCCCTCCAATTCTATGTACCCTCCGATCCTCCATCGTTCCAAGCTATTGCCCAACTGTCAACTTGCCAAGTGTTTCTTTCTCAGTGTTGCAAGAGATACTGTCTTCTTCCCCTTGACATCCCCGACTTTCCTTCCGTCCCAAACCATTCCCCAGCCGCTTTCATCTAGATGTCCTCTCGATGTCCTGCAGATTTTCTCTTTTTTCATAGCCATTATATGCCATGTACCACCTACACCCCAATCATTGTACCMCTTCAACACCCTTAATTTYCCAYCCTATTTAGTTTTTCAYGAGCWAAAGACAGTTGACATCCTGAGATAATATTGAAATGCTTGCTCGGACAATAAGCCTTCAAGTCAACAATTTGGAATTCTTAATTTGTTTTGCATGTATTATTTGTGATTAATTTTCTGACAGAGTACTAAAGACCAGTATCTGAAACTCCAGGCAATGATTGAAATGGTACGTACATCTTCTATGAAATAAAGACGGTATAGTATAAACTTTTATCGCAAAATCCATAATGGAAATGCAAAAATTCCCTCTATTAATGAGTTACCATTATCAAATCTGCTTCTGACCTTCTCGAATTCGCATTAGTCACCAAAT